AAAAGCGAAACTACTTTGTTTGGTCTTCCAAAAGAGGACGATATCTGCTTCGTCATGCCTGGAGCTGATCCGTGCTGGTCGCTGAGGAAATACATCAACTTCACGCTGTGGATCACCGGATCGACTTTCACCATGGACGAAGTGGAGTCCAGCCCGGGGTCGTCACATGTGGTTGCCGCAAGCCCTCCGGACGCTCCTTAGTCGAATTCGCCGATTGTGCCGTTCTCAAGCCCACCGGCCTCCGCTCACTCTAGCCCTCCGGCTGTTCCTCACTCTAGCCCCCGGCCTCTACTCACTGTAGGCCACCGCCGCTCACTCTAGGCCACTGTGTGTGACGCTGTGTTCCAAAAATGGACACGACTAGAAATCAGTGGTTAAGTTGTATTTACAACACTGTTCCAGAAAGATCGAACCCAAATATTCAGATGTGTGCAGCACATTTTATGGAGGACCGTTTCCTGATCCTGGTAGAGTAGACTACAATGTTCTGTTCTGACTCTCGGACTGTAAGTACGTTTTTTATATTTAAAGAGTTTTTATATTTTTTATATTTAAAGCAAGTTTTTTGGGCAGTGTAGAGTAGGGCTTGTTTTTTGTCATTTCTCCGATCACAAATGCAGACGTGGTTTTATGTTTACGTGGCGCGATGCAACGATCTGGTATTCCAGATCCCCGCCTCAGTCTCCTGAGACGCCAGTTCCGCCTTGGCCCTCCGGATCCTCTGCGTCACCCGGGCTCTGCAGCTCTCCGTCTCCATCCTGAACTCCTCTTTCACCGGCTTTGTCTCCGTCAGTCGGCCCCCTGGTGTCGTCAGCCCTATCTCCACCATGGCTCCTCCCACCGTGGGTCACTATCCTGGCTGGTCTCTGGATCTCCACCTGGCTTCTCCTGCTCTGGGCCCCTCCCTGGCTCCTCCCTCCATCTACTCCACCCTGGCCTTATGAACAATGCCCCTTTCCCATTGCCTGCCCCACACCCGCCTCCTGAACCCCCACCCTCCCTCCCTCCTCTGTTGGACTGTTTGTCGGCACGAGGATGTGCCTTTCCGGGAGGGGGGCGATATGTCACAGTTATGTTCTGTTTTGGTTTAGTTTTCCATGTGCTTCTGTCTCCTGATTCAGTTCCTCATTATTTTTCATGGTTTTTGATTAAATACTCCACACCTGTTTTAGCTCTCCCTGATTACTTCTCCCCTGTTCGGTTGTCTGCTATTATTTGTGCTTATGTGATCGTGGATTTTCCTGTGGATTATTGTTATTAAATATTACTTTGTACTCTACTCCTTTGTCGTGCTCTTACTTCTACAGCCACTGCGTGACAGCTATGTAGTTCTTTAGAGCAAAGAGTTTAATATCTGGGCTCAGATGAAGCATTCATGCAGCAACGGGTGCACACACCAGCAGGACTGTCATTACAACTGAAAATATTATCCCAGTTCCGCAGTGAAGACGTCCTCTAGAGCTTATTTAATGGGCCAAAGGGAGCCATACAATGTTTGTTCCAATCCTGAATTTTAAAGACAGGCCTGCAGTGCCAGCATGCTGGTAGAAAATTAAATGAAAAAGAGCTGAGAAAGATGTTGCAAAGAATTAATAAATGAATCATTAAGTAAAACATGTTTTACTTGTTTCAGACACATGTGAAACAATGATGAGCTCATGAATAAGAAAAATATTACAATTCTATTAATTCTTACAAATTTGAATCTTATAGGAGCGTTCATTATGTTAACCATGTGCTGGAAAGTACCCACATTTCCCCATCCCAGAGATTTTATTCTTATTGGTATAGGTATAGGGGAGATCCAGGATATTACATTACATTGAAATAAGCTAAATCAGCCGATTCTTTTGTTTAGTTCGATATATATACAGTAACATTTACTTAAAAGTTTCACTTAAATGTAAAAAAAAGAAAAGAAAAAGTTATAATTTCGTGTCTGAGCATTCAATGGCGGTTGCAACAATTACTTTCCCCATACTTCTACTGGACCCAGAATAAAGATAAGGCCAAAACATATTATGTTACTATTTGCCACAGTTGTAAAAATGATTAGGGTTATGTTTTGTCTGTTATGTTTTAATCTATAATTTATGTATTTGTTGAGTAATTTCCAAAACGTAAAATTCTGTTTTAAAAGAAAATGTTTCCTAGTTTCACAACCAACTCCACCCACTGCTACAACTCACCTTGGTCATAGAGTAGGTTCAAACAAGCATTCTTTGTACTTTATTAAAGAAAGCATGTATAGAGATAATTCTATTTTATAAATTTTATTTGGAAAATAGCGAATAATAGTATTAATAATGACGATGATAATAATAATAACATTAATAATAATAGCCTAATAATAATAATAATAATGTTGTCATGTGTTTTTTCAGCAGATATTAGCAGGTATTTCGTTATAAATATATTTTCAACGATATTTTGTATGTTTATCTATAATATTTCATTTGCTGATCCGCAGTGATCTTGGTCTTCTCTCGGTCCTGATGACAGCGCGGGTGTGGCGGCAGGTTCCTCCCACCTGTTGTGCAGCAGTGATGCGCTGCTCCTCTTGGGAGACACGGAAGACCTACAATGTACTCCTGACAACAGCCTCCTGATATTTACAGGAAATATCGTTTTAATCAGCGTCTTATAAAGAGTAATTTACTACCATTGTACAATGACTGCGAATCATGTACGAAAGCGTCGAAAAGGAGGGTCAACGGAAAGATAACGGTAAGAAATAAAGCTGTCTCAAAATATCTGTTAGTAGTAGGCCTACCTACTTATTATATTCATGACTCAGAGCTTCCGTCGTGTGAAAACGCTACTTTGCATTGTGTGCTGTGATTCTCAATTTTAGATGCATTAGTCAAAACCGATAGTTGTGATCCTCTGGAAGACGCAACTCCAAACTGGAGTTGTTACAGATTGATTATTGATCCGGGTTTGAACGGCGGAAGTCAGAAACTGTACCGCTATGATGGACAGCACTTCAGTGCGCCGGTGAGTAGCTGCACCAGGTTTTAAGCAGAACAAAAAATTGCTATTAATATTTATATAGATGTTTACATAAGGATTAGTTATCTAACTTAATGAGATCTAATCCTATTTACGCTGTCTAGTTGTATTCTGCATTGTACTGTACAGATGAAGCTTACTTAATTGTTGTCCGCCAGCATCCTGAATGTTTCCCTGTGGATGTTATACAAGATCCCAGAATTGCACGTTTTTGGACAAAATTCAAAGAAGCAGATCTCCCAGTCCCCAAATTTAAGGTTAGTAGGCTATGCCTTAATTAAAGGCAAGCTTTAAAAATGAATAAACTTGTAACCCTCATGTTATATTGGTATTCACTTTCTTGTGTTTGGGGTCCCTGAGAAAATAAAATGTGTCAAAATATTTTTTATCATGTGTTTCTATCTATCTATCTATCTATCTATCTATCTATCTATCTATCTATCTATCTATCTATCTATCTATCTATCTTATCCAATTTAACATTGTTCCTCTGCCTTTGTGATACAAGGTATTTTTTAAAAGAAAGTTGATTGTGTCTGATTTTGGGATCAGTCCAACCCCAACAAAACTAATTCTAGAAAAATCAATACAGCATTGATTCAATAAAATTGTATTGTTTTATTCCTGAGGTCTCTGAGATCCCAAACAAGTCATGTAACATTTTTCCTCACATCATCTGTAGTGTTATCAAACTTATAGTCGTTTCTCAGAAGTATCAAACAGATGTTAATGTATGCTATCTGGCCAATTAAAATTTCCTTTGGGTTTCTCACATCCAAAACACAACAACAAAAATAATGCCATATGTCAATAAACCTTCTTTTTTTTAGGTTGATGAGAATTATGTTGGAGCACCGAAGGAACTGACATTTGCATGGCTTAATGACAACATTAGAGATGGATTCCTATCTGAAATGTGTAAAAACTTTGGAGAGGTTCAAGATTTGAAAGTTTTATACAATCCAAAGAATAAGAAGCATTTAGGAATAGCAAAAGTTGTTTTTGAATCTGTAAAGGCAGCAAATAATGCAGTAAAAAACCTCCACAACACTTCTGTGATGGGAAATAACATCCATGTAGAGTTTGACCCCAAAGGTAAGTACATTTCTAACTCTATTTATTTTCTATAATACCTTATCAGTATCTTCTAAATAAAATATTTCATGAACACATCTATGCAATCTGTTTTAATTACCGCATTTACTGTATTTGCATGGGTTACATGATTCATGATTTTCATTGTTTTAGGTGTGAAGAGGAACCGATACTTCCAGATGCTTGTAAGTGGTTTATATACACCTTTTACTCTTCCTGTTGGAGAAGAGGCCTGGGGACCCCAATCACCTTCCTCATTCTCTGACTCTTTAACTGTGAGTACAAGACCATAGGCATTGCTTAACATAATCTTTTTTTTTTAGTTATTTTTTTTTGGAAACCTGTCTGGATTTATTGTTTTAGTTCACTTGTAAATATCTTTCATCATTTCAGGAGTGTGAAACACTGAAGAAGCTGGCATACACATTATCATCATCATCCTCAATATGTAATGGCTCCCCTTCGTTGGATTGTTCTACTCCTTTATCCATGGATACCGCCTACTCCAGCATGCATCAGGACACACCGAGTAGCTTCTGGCAGACCCCTCAATACCAAGATACCCCCTGCACCCCTTCTCTGACCCACAGTAGACCAGGCACACCATCTCAGTGTGAGAAGACCCCAAATGAATCAACACTGATAAACAGTGCCTCCAGTGTCTCTTTTATTCAGTCCATCCCAAACATCTCACAGCTTCAGCTTGATCATGTGACTCAACCAGCCTCAAGTAAACCTAGCATTATTCAAGGTGCTGTGCAAAACTTTTGGAAGCTAGGTGGAGCTCCTTGTCAAAATGACAGCTTTTCAAATAGGCAAAGAACTCCAGGACGCAATCCTCACTTTAGCAACCAAGTTCGTAGAGGACACCAGGTCAGACCTCTTGAGAGCAAGTACCAAAACTCATATAACCGTAGGCCACAGCACCACTATATACATAGACCTGTATATAAGGGAGCTCACTACCGCTCTGGATCTACAGCCAATCAACTGCCTTTTAGAAAATTTCAGGATGCTCCAACCACACCATCACAGCTCACAGGCCAAAACTTTACTGGCTCAATCAAGGGCCTCAGTGTTAAACACATATCTGTTGGTGAAGATCCTCCATCACTTCCTAATTTAGATATACTGCCTCAAAAGGCTATTGGAGTGGATGTTCGTCACATTCTTCTTGATATACATATAAATGCAAATAAGTCAGAAAATAATTTCAGTGGTACTCAAGTACCTTCTAAGACAAACCATGAGGTTAACCAAAATCACTCATATACTCCAAACTCTTCCTCTGAAACCACAGAAGATCATTCAGAGCCTACAGAGCATTGTCCTTCTCCTGAATCTGAATCTCCTGCTCTGGAATCAAAGCCTGACAGCCTGGACTTTCGTATCCAGATGCTTCTTAGTGGTGGAAGTCCAGTTCTGCCTCTTCTGAACCAAGAAAGTTCAGACTCAGAGACTTCAGCTACTGAAGAGCATGGTCCAGACTATCATCCTCAACCTTCTCCCAAAGCTCCCAGCCCCTCTCCTTCTCGTTCCACAGATGTTGTCCTAAACTGTGACCAAACATCATCTATTGCGAGTAATAATGGTTCTCATGCAAGAGAAAGTTTATCTGGTATTGAGGATGTGAGTCTCACTTCTCTCTGTGATGTGGGAAAAGAAGACCATGAACTTCAATCAGCTAAGAAGCCCAAGGTCAACCCAAATGAAGTTGAAGATACTTCAGATCAGCCGTGTAGTATACCAGTGATCTGCAGTAACAGGAGCTCTTTACCTCCGACCATTCCTCAAATGCCCCCACCTCCAATCCCTATATCACCACCTGCTCACTACCCCTGCCTTCCATCTCCTAATTTACCCTCAAAAATGGGTCCTCCTCCACCAATGGCTCCATTGTTACTTGGATACACTCTGCCTAGTTCTTCTTGTTCATTGTACCCTCCTCCAAAGATCCAGCAAGTCTGTAGGCCACCCAACTGGCAGGGTAGCCAAGTACCTCTTCCCATTCCTACTAGAATAACACAAGGGCAAACCTCATTCTCACCTCCCTTCCTCCCTCCAACCTTCAATTTCATGACTCATCACCCACCATACCCTTCCGCTGGGTGTTCATCTACAATGTTGAGGTACAGACCACCTTGGCCTCCACCCCCCATGCCTAAGTTTGACCCCTCAGTACCTCCACCGGGGTATGTCCCTATGAATGAATCACCCCATAAGCCAACAGTGGATGGAGTTCTAGCTGTTGTTGCTTCAGAGCTACGGGCTATCGTAAAGAAAGACATACATCGCAGAATAATTGAGATTGTTGCCTTCAAAGCGTTTGATCAGTGGTGGGATGATAAAGAACTGGCGGCTAAGGTGGGATTTATTTTTTATTTCAGCTGTAGTGATAGAGCGAGTAGTGTCAATCTGTATTTCCATTAACATTTCAACATTGTTTTCATATGTATCATGTTGTGCACCTCTAGGTATCCACCCCAACTGTTAAATCAGGAGGAAATAAAGATACAATGCTCAGAGCGATGGAGCAGAGCCTAAGAATGGGGAATGCAGGGGTTGAAGGCTCTGTATTGGGCACAGGAAAAATAAGTCTGCATGGTGGCATCAAACTACCATCTTTTAAGGTACAAACTTGGTACTTCAGTAAATTTCAAGATATACAGTTGAAGAGCTGATTTAGTATGTTTTATGCACTTCAGTATTACCTGCACTATCGTAAAATTTAGATCAAAAAATGTTTATGATTTTTGATTTGTGTTTATGCTCAGTTAAAGAGGAAGGATCCATTAACTGAGGCCTCCAGTGATGTCAAAAGGGTCTGCCCTTCTCCTGGTCCTGAGCACTCGGAGGATGAAGGTTAGTTTGGAATGCTGTTTCACTTGGTTTTATGAAACCCATGATGTGAGTGTGGAAAAATTATCTGTTTTCTATGGAATCCTTACCTTACTACCTTAAAGATAAAAAAAGATGACTGTGACTTTATATAGTATCTTCCGACTGTGATTCCACAATGGAACTTTATTTCTTAATCTTACCTTTATTTCACAATTACATGTTTTATCTTTTACTCAGAGGTGGAAACATGCTCCCATAGTTTTTTAATATTATTCAAAAATGTACTGTATGAAGTTTAAATTGCCCCTTTGCACCTGTCTCCTCCTGAATTTGCATTCTACTTACATTTAAAGTAATCTTACTCAATAACAAAATATGGTCAACCTTTATTTTATAGAATCAGTGCAGCAAACAGCCCTAAATAATGTTGAAGAGGACACAACCAAAAATCCCAGTGAGGACACTATGGTGAAACGCAGGCATTCCAGACCTCTGGCATTAGATAGTGAGGAAGAAGAAGATGAAGAGGTTCCTGACAAAGCAGAGAATCCAAAATCTCATGTGTCTGCTCAGGTATTGTTTCACTTTTATAAACAAAGATGTACTTGTATAAAAAGTAGGGATGCACCGATACCACTTTTTCCAGTACTCGCCCGATACCGATACTTTTATTTTTGGTACTTGCTGATACCGAGTACCGATACCAATATTTTCATTGCATTTGTAAATTTTTTAAATATTGGGTACAGAAACCAAAAGAGTATGTATAATGTTAGTTGGTTAACTTCATTTATCAAATAGATACAGTCAAAACTAAATTTATTCAGACACCTTCAACATTTCTCACATTATCACAGTTTATTCGCTATAGTTTAGAAAATGGTAATAAAATATGACAAGAACTCAGAGTTAAACTGTGTCTTTACAAATTCAGCTTGATAATGTCAGATAACTTTGATAGAATGGTATGTAATGGATTATAATAAACCAAAAATTATTCATACAGCTGTTCAGGTATTGTTTCACTTTTATAAACAAAGATGTACTTGTATAAAAAGTAGGGATGCACCGATACCACTTTTTCCAGTACTCACCCGAT